TTCGATTGGAAGATCAGAAACAGAGATTTCAAGGCGGCTCCAGCATGGGATCTAAATATAGTGCTCCAACACCTCACAAGTGAGGCATATGAACCACTGGAATCAACATCATTCAATTTCTGACACAGAAAACTTTGTTCCTGTTATCCCTAGCAGCAGCAGCCAGGATGTCAGAGATTCACGCCCTAGATTACGAGAGAACACGCTTTGATGACAATCATAACATCGTGCATATGGGACTACGCTGGGATTTTCATCGCCAAGAACCAGTTGCCAGGTCAACCAGACAGATTATTCCACGTCCCAGCTCTCTCATCAATTCTCGGGACCTCATGATACACTGGATCTATCATTATGCCCAGTCAGAGCACTGAAAATATATCTACGGCGATCCAAACCGCGGCGACATAAACACAAACGATTATTCATCCCTCTATCGACAGCTACACAGACTGAAGTCTCACGTACAAGTATCTCGATATGGATCAGATCTGTCATACTACGAGCCTACAAGGCTGCAGGACTCGACCTTCCAAGAGCATCTAATCCACATGAAATTAGAGCGCTAGCTTCAACACTTGCTCTACACGGCAATTGCTCTTTGAATACCATCATGGAGGGCTGCTTCTGGAGATCCGATATAGTGTTTGCCAACCACTATCTGAGAGATATCACCATTTCGGTCCCATGGTCCTCGCACAGCAGTTGACAGTCCCTCGGAGAAGATAAGTCAATCTTACGAGATTTTTACTGCTTAGTTCACAACAGTACTATATCGCTAATAACTCCACGAAGTTTATGCTATTATATATTTTAGCTTAAGTCCAATCATAATATTAAGCTCAGTACTATGTCTGTTATATCATAACAGTATCATTAGCTAACAACTCTATGAAGTTTATGCTATTATATTATCAAGCTTAAGTCTATCTTAGTCTTAAGCCTAGTATTCATTTTGTAAATACTTTAGTTAACTTCTCCATTAGGATTAGTTTATTTATGTTTATCATAATATCTATATATTGTAGTAACCCATATATGGCAGCTGATAAGCTTAACAGCAGGAATTATCAATTCAGTGCCTTTATGAAGTTCCCATAGGGGTTATTACAGTTATTACAGTTATCAAATTACTAATTATCTAAATCCAAAGTATTCTGTATTCCCACCTCCGTATCCGTAGGATTCTACAAGCAAAAGAGCATGAGTCAGGATAAGGAAAAATATGTAATTTTTCTGAATAAAATTGATATTTTATACTTATCCTGACTCATGAGGTAAGCCCTCCCATCCTCCCCACATAACACTTTGGATTTCCCTGAAAATTCAAGTGTTGGGCTCGCTATATAAGGCAGAGTGAGGCATGTGGCAAGAGGTGGTGCCCTCGTTCCCGCGCAAATGGCTGGGAGGGAGACAACTCTTGGTGAGTTCTAATTAGTGATTTTACATTGAAGGGAGCTTCAATTGGGAGATACAAGTGTTCCACTGTGTTCGCAAGAAGAAGAAGACAAGCAAAAGAGCATGAGTCAGGATAAGTATAAAATATCATTTTATTCAGAAAATTACATTTCTTCTAGCAATGGCAAAGTAGGGTTGTTTAGTTTACGGATTCAAATAAATCAAATGTCAATTTTTAATAGCATACGTAAAAGACGTCATATTTTTACATGACATGATTACATATCGAGGTAAAAAATACACAGAAATGGGATCAATTTGGATCAGTCATTATACCATCCAGGCATTACAAAACCTGAAAAAGCACACACTGCTTTGATACTTTATTACAATCAGACAAGAACTACCGGGGATATTTTCAAATAACTGCATCTGATCGGCATCAACCCTTCTTAATGTTGCACTGTTTAGGTTGAAGAAATTAATCGTAACCGTGATGAGCGAGGCTGATCATCGCTTTCACTATCACTAGTGTCTGGCTCAAACAAATAAGGCCTAGCGACACCAAGCAATTTTGACAGAATCGTCTATGAAAACAAGTGGTAACTCGGAAACTAGGCAAAGCAGGAAACAAAATCAAATGACAGTAGATTGTGAGAACATATAGCTTTCATTTTTCACAACAGTTGTCACGATTTCAGGTTTATACAAACGTGTAAACAAGATAATTTACCCCCTGAAATGTACTTGAATTCTGCATCAGCCCTCATATCTATTCCTCATATGACGTCACAGAGATGCGCCGCTCTGATTGATTGAAATTTCGTTCGCGGGTGAGAATTGTGCACTGTTGTCAAAAAGGTCGATTTAAGTTAATTAAAGATCGAAATGAGTAGTTTTAATTACAGGGTTTCATTTATAACAATGCCAATTAGTGATTTATGTATTTGTACCCCCTTAGAGTATATGCAATCTTGAAGAGATTAATTTGATTAACATAGATGAAATTTCAAATTTTACTTTATTTCTGAAAAAAACCCTTCAGCATGGTGATGTCAGCATTAAGTAAGTGTGCACCCCTAACCCTGCACAGTATGTGGTCACTGGAGTGGGGAGGGGGGCATTTTCATAGCCTGCCTGAAATATGAAACCCTGAGTGAAACTATTTCCCCACTCACAGGCTTGTTTCCATGGATACGCATCTCCTCTGGCCACCTGACTGATACAGTGGGAAATTCAAATCTGGATTTAAAAAATATAAATATGTTTTGTAGACTGTCTGCAACCATACTTTTTGCTGTGATAATGATAATGTACTTCTTTATACCATGGTTTAATATCATCATGAACCGGTAAGTCAATTTTATGCTATTTCATGGAATGTACTTAAAGGTCACATGCAACGTAAAACACAACTTTGCAGATTCTGATACCTTTCGGTATGGACTTACCGAAATAAATCATCAAAAATGCAAATTCAACTTATAAAGTTAAAAAATAACGCGATGAAAAAAAACGCGCGAAATCGGAGTTCAAACGTTTCACTAATTTTCCCCAGACTTTTCTGAGGAAAACGGGTTTCAACAGCTGGGATGCGCTCATAGCACGTGCGCAGTGAAATAGGTTCGCGCAGCTTGGAAGCGGGTTGTAGGGTGAATACTCGGTGAAGGCTTTGGTGTGAGCTATTTTTCTAATGTTTTGTTGATATCTCACAGGCGCGACCTTTTTATATGTTATGACAGTAAATTAACTGTTTATATAATTTCATTTGTCTATTTCACCACACGTTCTTCTTACCGAGTCACTTTCTCAGTTCGATACTTAAAAGCAATGTCATTATTCAGCGTTGTACAGAATTTCTAACTGTGATATAGATATGTCGTTGTCACAGACAAAACTCAATGTCTTGTTTTATTGACACCTGTACTGTGTGTCTGCCTGCCTGTCTGACAATATTCAATACACAGCTGCTATCACTGACCACATGCAATTTGAACTTAACACCAATCAGGCTATACACCATAAACAAAATGCATTGATTTATGGCCCGAGTTCGGTCTCTGTCACATTATGTAATTACACAGACAGGCAGGTGTGATACTTGTAGACATGACATGTTATGATGTCTGTTGATTGCAAAATGTTATACACCAAAAATGAGCATGTATTTACAAAACCCAACATCTCTATATATAAACACACAATAGCCGTGAGGGCATCTGCAAATGAACCAGCCGTTACACTTGAGTGCACACCCACCCGCTCTGACTGGGTTCGGTATCCCGGCTGCTTCGTTTCTTGGGAAGTAAACCCAAGTACACAATTTTGCACTTTTGATTTGCGATTGCACGCTTATAATTTTGTTATATATTTTTTCATTACCAGCAATGTATATTATATGTCATGAATAAGTGATAATTGTGTTTTAATTATGTTTGATTTTTTGGTTGCATGTGACCTTTAAATACTGCTTTGGTGGTGTCTATTACCGGGAAGGCTACATTTCAATTACATGGCTGTAGCCGGTAAAGCTACATTTCTAACAGATTAATTAATTAATGGATTACCGTAACGGGTAGAAGACTGTTCCTATGCTAAACGCCCAAAGAAACGTTACCCTCCTACCATCTATGAATTAACAACAAAAATATGTTAGAAGATATTAATTAGTTTACAAGAAAACTTAACAACACAGCTTTATGCAAATCACGAACCAAATTCTCAAACGCATTCATATTTAGGTGAGCTGCATCGTTTTCAGAAGTTAAATTGTCCTATTTTCGGCAATGCCGAAATAAACCAATAACAGTGATTTAGATGTCCAAAAGAAAGGTTGAAATAAAATTCTGCTTAAGACAGAGATAAACCATTTAAAGTCACCATTTTTCAATTATTAAAACAAGAAACAACTGTTGTAGAGCAGCAGAGCAGCAGAAAGTTTTCATAAGAAATGTACACATGGCAGCAAACTAAACCATTATCATTATTATTATGTTTTTACAGATTAAGATTTTATTATAATGTGCTAATATTAAAGTATATTATATTGTGCTAATTATAGAAATAAAATCTGTTGTGATCTGAATAAAATTATGAGGAAACATGTCTTGTTTTGTTAAATACGGTAACCTGTTTGAATCACTAAGCATGTTTTTACAGCATAGCCGGGAGAGCCACATTCCATGTGCACACAATCAGAACTATTGCCGGGAGAGCCACATCAATTTTGGCTATCTGTTTCGGAAATGTGGCTCTCCTGGCCTGTAACTGCTTTGCTTAGAATCGAAAGACAGCTTTGACAAGGCAAGGAGGCCCTACCCCATCTGTGTATAGGTTTGAACCCCGGCCTTTAAATAGATGGATGCTTGACGCTATCAAATTCAAGGTCATACAGTAACAAGCAGATCATTTGTAATACTGGAAGTAAATTAATGTCATCTAAATGAAGGTGCATGTTTGTATGCAACTATTTTGTGATTTCATAGTATGTTATGTAGTTTCAAGGAAAAAAGCAGTAACTGACATGCAGGAGCAATACATGCTTTTTTTTCATTATTTATTTACCTGTAAAATGTTTTGAAACTTTTCTTCACTTATCACAGCTTAATGATGAATCTGAAAAGACCAAGGATGAAATGTTTTTTGAAGAACTGACAGAGTTGGAGGATGAATTTCTACAGCAATATCGTAAACGCAGAATGGAAGAGATGAAGAAAATGTTAGAGAACAGGTAAGATCAAGTAGTTTATTTCAAAGATTCTGGTCCATCACCTAAATAGATAACCTGTAAGTTATTGTCATGAATTATCGCCGGCCCACAGTTTTTTTCATACTTCATGATGAAGAAGTTCATCGTGTCAATTGTTGAGTGTTGAATGTTCATCTAATTTTTAGAAAAACGACACCAAAGCAGCCATATTGAAACCCTTAATATGCTGAAAGAACATGAAATGTCATCCAACATGTTATCAATACTTGTGTAATGAGTAGTAGGGCTCATCACATCTGTTTTAATATTACAAATTCCAAGGACCCATGAAGATCCGGATTAGAATTGATCTTCAGTAACCCATGCTTGTCATAAGAGCCGACTAATGGGATTGGGTGGTCAGGCTCGCTGATTTGGTTGCCACATGTCATCGGTTCCCAATTGTGCAGATCGATGTTCATGTTGTTGATCACTGGATTGTCTGGTCCAGACTCGATTTTTTACAGACAGCCGCCATATAGCTGGATTATTGCTGAATGCGGCGTAAAACTAAACTCTCTTACTCACTAATTCCAAGACTACATGCACAGCCCTGATGACATGAGTGAGTGACTGCATGATGGTAAACCATCCAGGCCATAACCACATAAAAATATTATAAAGTTGTATGAATGTGCAGTCATATCATTCATTAATGAAATTTATCACTATCACATTCCCTGCTAATCAAAACTGATTGTCAATTTCTCATTATTTACAGGCAATTTTTAAATTAGTAACCATTTTCCGCAGCATTATTAAAACATTTTGTCAGGGACACTCGCTTTGACGATGCAGACATTTCAAAGCATATCTTCATTTTCTTCAATAGAGCAATAACTAACACCATCACAATATTTGGAAAACTTTCACATTTCAAATTTACATCTTTTTTATGTCATCGTGTCATTAAAATCAAATGATATGTTGACTATAGTCAGTAATTTTACAGAAAGAAGCTGAACAGAAGGATCAGCAATGTCGTTAGGGGGCAGCTGGGAGGCCAGGTGGTGGCATTCACACCTGACCCCGCCCAGTACCTGGACGGAGTCTACTTATCCAAGCTGGGCATGGCTGCCCAATACCGGGCCATTCTGGCAGCACTGCATAACAATTAAGTACCAGTAAAACCTCTTTCGCACCCTCTCCCCTACTCCCCCTTTAACTCGCTGTGGATGGCAGCCCCACCCACTGTCCAGCAGTGGGCAGCGTGCAGACCTGTTGGCATGGTGCACCAAATCAGCTTAAAAAGGGATACTTGGCTTCTGCTTTTACAGTGGCAGCCCAAACTTTCCTACCTGCTGTCTCCGCTGGAGGAAGTACAAAAGTGTCCAATGCCTTAGCAGCCTGCTTTTCCTGCCTGCTGGCTCCGCGGGAGGAAGTACAAACTTGACTATGCTTTGCCCGTCTGCTTTTCCACGGTGGAGGGCTGCAAATAGCTAAAATATATATTCGGTCCCAACGGCGCCGTCCACACCACATTCATTGTCATCCACACATCTGCGTTGTGTAGTCTTTCATCTGGTATGCGTACCACGCTAAGGCCATCCTCATCAGCCGCATCTTATCGTTATTACATTGTAACAAGCTAAAGGTCTGCATATGAGCTGATAGAACATGAAATGTCATCCAACATGTTATCAATACTTGTGTAATGAGTAGTAGGGCTCATTACATCTTTTCAAATATTACAAATTCCAAGACTGCATGCACAGCCCTGATGACATGAGTGAGTGACTGCATGATGGTAAACCATCCAGGCCATAACCACATAAAAATATTATAAAGTTGTATGAATGTGCAGTCATATCATTCATTAATGAAATTTATCACTATCACATTGCCTGCTAACAGCGCTATCAGCCTGGCCTGTAACCGATACACATCAACAACCTGCTGCTAACTTCCCTCTACCGGTACACATGCGCAACAGATGCGCAGACATTCACAAATGAGCACTCTGGTAACCATGTAAACAATATTGCGTAATGTCCGGGCAGAGAGTTAATTCCCTTAGCGGGATTTCATCGGCTGCGACTGATAGTCAAACATTACATGGACAGCTCCAATAAGCTGATTACAATAATCTTAATCTTTATCTTATCTCTTATTTGCACATGTCAGCTGATAAGCCCGGAATATCTGTTTTCAACGAACATTCGGCATTGCCATGGACGACTTTATTCACTGGGATGATTCTGACTTGGACCTCGATACTTTACTTGGCGAATTTACAGACTACGACCAGGATTGTGTTTCGGATGATACTGAGTCTGATGGAAATGACAGTGCAGCTAGTGCTCCCAAGACGCCTGTTAAATCTCCGAAAAAGTTTCAGTCAAAGAAACAGACAGGAAAAGAAATTACCACGGCTGCCTACGAGTGTCCCGAGTGTAACAAAACCTACAAAACTATTGTAGGTTTCCGAGGGCATATGAAGAAAAAACACAACCGATCAGACATCAAAGGTATAGTACATTATATATTGTTTATATGTATATATTAATTTTATTAATTTGTATTTGATAAAACATATAGTAGTAGATCTAATTGTATTAATGATATTTATAAACAATTTCCAAAATACAAAACGGATGCCACCGAAAAGATTTATCCGACTATTACACTGAATTCCAACTAATATAGTCAGGTAAGACAGTTTTACAGTTGCCAGTATCCCCGATGTTCGCTAAAAGTATCATCACGTAATCTATAAGTTTTTCTTGCAAGTATCTGTTGGCACTGGCAGGTGTTTCACTAAATGACGCTATTAGTCTCTGATTCTAATTTCATAATAATTCGCATATTTTTATAAAGATGATAGTCCCAACGAAACACGATTTCACATTATCCACGAGCATTTATGTTTTTTATAATGCCAGTCTGGGGCTGGCAGTGATTATGCTTAAGCCGCATGGAGACATTTGTTATTTTTACAAAGGGAAGCTACTCTGAAATACTACGACGAATGTAACAATTTTCACAAACGTCACTTTTCTTCAAGTCAATGAAATATTTGTGCTATTGGCAGTAAGTGCTTCATTACCCAATCAATTTTAAAATTTCAGCTTGCAAATGATGAGCATTGCCAGGTAAAACGAACTGCATCAAAAGTCAAAGTGTCAACTTTACCGTGGCAGGAAACTGCAACCAATACCATTAAAACCACAACATCACACGTTCTGATATGTACATGTATTTATTATAGAATAGGAACATAGATCTTTGTATTACTAAATTCAACCATTTAGATATTCTTTTATTAAAACCACAGTAAATATGAATGTCAACTGTTGTAAATAAACTCTAAACTTAATTTGAAATTGAGACTAAGACTAAAAGGGTATACTAATGTTTTAAAATATTAAACATGATAACTTATAAACTTGGTGCAACACAAACTGTGAATGAATTGTGAATGAAAAACATAAAATCATACAAATCTGTACACGACCTTAAAATAACTTCATTAACTGATATTTTAGGTATCCATGAAGTGAATTATACATTTGATTATAATTTCCATAAAATCTTCTCATGTAATTTATGAATATCAACTGTTGTAAGGAAACTATGAACTGAATTTGAAATTGAGACTAAGACCAAACAATATACTATGGTATTAATATATTACTGAGTGAGTTTGGTTTTACCCCGCTTTTAGCAATATTCCAGCAACATCTTGGTGGGGGACATCAGAAATGGGCTTCACACATTGTACCCATGTGGGGATTTGAACCCGGGTCTTCGGAGTGACGAGCCAACACTTTAACCACGAGGCTACCCCACCGCCCTGTATTAATATATTAAAACATGATAACTTATAAACTTCTTGCAACTCAACCTGCATAGTTATGTTGTCCATTTAGGACTGATTGTGAATGTAAAACATAAAATCATACAAATCTGTACACAATCTTAATATAACTTCATTAACAGATATTTTAGATATCCATGAAGTGAACTGTACATTGAATTTTAATTTCCATAATTTCTACTCATGTACTTTATTACATGTTAAATTATTAGATTTAGCTATCCTCCTTCTTATTTCAGCTTATGAGCACAGACAAAAGAGCAGCACCACCAAGCCACACAGCTTCAAACCCAATGAATCTTCAAAAGTCTTGCCTCTTGCAAGTGAAGCTCAAATGATGGACGCCTTAAAGGATGAAATACCAAAGGCACTAAAATTGATCATTTGCAACCCTATGATGGATGCATCTCAGTCAGGTTCAATAGTTGGTGAAGATGTGATCGAAATTGCAAAATCCCTCAGTAGAGATTTTGATGTCAAATGATTTTATAGTTATTGTGACACCAAAGTTACACCATGTGTTCAAGGGGTTTGGCCATGGGAGCTCATTATCAAGCGACCAAGAGGTACTTTGGAGCAGGTATCATCAGATGCGCGTACAGGAAGATTTTATTTCAAGCATGCACACCTGTATAGAGGAAGTCAGCAACCATCACATCAGACTTATTCACATTTTCACATCTGCTTGACCGCATCATTCAAACGCTCTTTCACTTTTTTACCAAATCGATGAAGACAGCTGATGAGAAGCAAGCAAACAATATCAGTGGATATGACCAAGCTGTGCTATTTTATATTTCTGGATATATTGTCCATGCTCTTCTTAAAAAGAAGACAATAAGTGGCCAAAACATAGAGGCTCTCATCGATAGCCTTCATACAAAAACAGAATCCAAAGAAAGCTACATTCGGACATTTTCCAGATGGACAGAAAAAATCAACAGGGGTGGCCTTACACTTCCAAGTGATTATTGCTTTCTTCTTGGGAGATCAGTTGAAATAGCAGTCAGGAGGAAAGTGGATCTGTCCAACCTCAGTTCCTACTCACTTCAATGTGACATATGGAAAGAAACTATTCTGATTAACCCCATGGTCATCTTCTACTGGGACAAGTTAATCATGTTCGAAGAAAAACTAAAATTAAAACTCTTAGAATTTCTAGTCA